TCACATCCCATCTCCCAACACCCAAATCCCACCTCCCATCATCCAAATCCCATCTCTCAACGCCCAAATCCCATCTCCCATCACCCCTTATTTCCCATCCCCCCAAATCCCACCTCCCCTCACCCAAATCCCACCTCTCCTTACCCAAACCCCACATCCCACCCCTTCCCACCCCCTCTTCCATCTCCATCCACCACCAACTCCCGTGGGACTCCCCAGCCCATTCCCATTCCCATTCCCGTTCCCGTTGCCGGCAGGGAGCTGGAGCTGCGCTTCGCCGTGTCCGAGGTGCCGGCCGTGGTGGTGCTGAAGCCCAGCGGGGAGGTGCTGGTGGCCAACGCCGTGGAGGAGATCCAGAGGATGGGGCCCAGCTGCTTCCAGAACTGGCAGGAGGCCGCCGAGATCCTGGACCGGAATTTCCGCCTGGCCGAGGATTTCGACAACCACGCCCGGAGGAGCCTCACGCACCCCCTGCGCCGGCTCAAGTACAAGCTGGACAAGGACAAGGACAGGGAAGAGAGGGAGGAAGAAGGGGAAGGAGACCCTTGAGCAGCTCCAAGAGCTCGTGGGATCCGTGGGATGGCTCCCACATCCAGCTTCTCCCACCTGGAAAATCACTGTAATTGAGATATTCCGACCCGGAGTGGGATGTATTTCCTTACATCATCCTGGAATCCGGCACCAGAAAAATCTTGCCGGGGCATCTCAGGCATTTATTTACCAGAATTGGGATTAAAAGTAACGTTTTTGTTGTCTGTTTACCAAAAAAGGGGAGAAGAAAAGTAATTCCTAGAGACCAGAATTCAGGGAACAACTGTAAACAGCTCAAAAACTGGGAATTGCATTAAAAATGCCCAAGGGAGGTGGTGAAGGGTCCTGGGGTCCCGATGTGATTCCAACCCCAAATGATGGGACATCACCCGGGGGCCTTGGAACTGCTGCTCCTGCCTCCCGCTTTCCCTGTGGGATAATTCCCTTCCTTCCCGTGTGGATTAGGAGGAGCCACACAGAGGGGCCCCCAGACCTTCCCTGCTCCAAACTAAACACACCCCCCTGCCCTGTTTTCCTCCTGGAGAGGCCTGGAAAAGCCACCAAGAGTGTCCAGGGATGTTATCCCACCCAAATCCGTGCCCAGGGCAGTTACCCAGGGGAGTGGAGTGTTGGTTGGTCCCTTCCCAACAACATCCTCAGCTGGTTTTCCATCTCATCCCACGAGCAAAGGTGACGAGATCCCAGGTTCATGTTTCCCTTCAGGCCCCAATTTAAGGTGTTTCCAACAATACTTGGAATTAGAGTGTCCCAAACAGCCGAGCCTGGGGAAGGAGAAAGGGGGAGGGAGGAGTTTTCCAGGTCCTTCATGATTTTTTTTGGGATTCCAAACAGCTGTTAACTCGTTGGAGGAAAAGCAAAACCCCGCTGTGGGCTGGGATTCCTTCCCCATCCCTTTGTTTTAAGGGATTCTTTGATGGTCTGGGCTCCCACCAGCTCTGCTCCGGAGCTGGCCCTGATCCAGCAGCCGGGGGTGTGATGGAATTCCTGCATTTTTAAAGGTTCGTGGATGTGCTGCTCCCATCCCTGGGATGGAACTGGGGGGGGGGGGGGGGGGTTGGGCTCCTCTGAGAGGGTTTGGGAATCTCTGAGCCAGCTGGGACTCGGGAACGATTCATTAGAGCAATTTTGTGGGGGTGCTGATGACATTGGGATGACATGACTCCTTCCAGGAGGTTTCTAAACATTCCTGGGATTCCAAAAAAGCAGCCAAAAAACCAACCCTTCGGATGGTCATGGGGGGGGGGGAACGGTGGCAGCCGAGAGGGTTAAAGGAAAATGTTGCCTTTAGGGCTTGTTTGGGAACGCAAAATCCACGCAAACAATTAAAACCCCCCTTGGAAAGGAGAAGTGGAAGAAAGGGGAGGGGACAGATGTTTTCCTTGGAAGCGTTTCCCTGCCGAGGCTCTGCTGGGCACCAGGACGTGGCCGGGTTGGGATCAGGTTACTCCATGACCCGGCTTGGGGGGGACAACGCCAGGACACCCCGGGAGACCCTTTGGAATGGGGGAGGAACAGGAAAACTCCTGGAGGGAGGGAGGGAATGGGGGGAGAAGAGGGGCTGGACTGGAGGCTGTCAGGGCTCCGCAGTCCTGTCCCTGTTCAGCATCCAGTGCTGCATCCCAGGGGGTTTGTTGTGGATCCCTGTCTCCATCCCTTTGTCCTGGGCTCTCCGTGACCTCCTCCCTGTGGATCCCTGTCCCTGTGGATCCCTGTCCCGGTGTCCATCCCTTTGTCCCGGGCCGTCCCCGTCTCCCAGGGCAGGTCCTGCTCTCCTGGTGTCCCTGGCAGCAGGTCGGGGCTGTTCCTGGTGATAACATCGTTCCCAGGGAAGCAGACAAGGGAGGAGGATCCTGACCCGATGGTCCAGTTAGGATGTGAGGGGCCGAATCCTCACGGTCCAGCTGGAATGTGGGGCTGGATCTGACCCTCTGGTCCACTCAGAAGGAGGGGGTCTGGATTCTGACCCCGTGGTCCAGTTGGAATGTGGGGGGTTGGATCCTGACTCAACGGCCCACTGGAAACGGGGGGGCTGGATCCTGACTGATGGTCCAGTTGGGATACGGGGATTTGGATCCCGATCCAAAGATCCACCCGGGATGTGGGGGGCTGGGTCCAGACCCGACGTACCCCCCGAGCCGCGGGTGCTGTCGGTGCCCCGGTCCTCCGGTCCCCCCCTCCGGGATCCTCGGGCAGCCCCCGCTCCCCGGCCGGGGCTCCCCAGTGCGGGACTGGGACCAGTTGCCGGGCGGGTCCTGGCGCCGCTCCCGCCCCGGGACCGGTCCTGCGGGGCGATGCGGCCGCCGCGGAGCCACCTCGATCCAGCCGCGGCCGGAGGCTCTCGGAAAGCGCTTTTGGGGCTCCGAGGAGGCGCCGAGGGCTCGGATTTCGGCTCCCGGGGCCCGCAGGACCCGCCCAGGGGAGGATCCGAGGAGGCCGCGGCTCCTCCGCAGCCGCACTAAGTCGCCTCCCAGGAGCTTCTTCTCCCCGCGATGGACTCCGCGGCTCAAACTTTCCTGTGAGGCGCTCGGGGGGGGTTGTTATTCCCCGGCTTGGGAAGCGGCTCTGCCCTCCAGGAGATGGGGATCCCCTGGCAGGATCGCCGCCCTGGCTCCCCGGGGCGCCGGGGTCGATGCTGAGCGCCGGGTTCGGAGGCGGCGTTGAGTTCCCAGGTAAGACTTTTCCTCTCGGGGGTAAAAACGCTCTTCCAGGCTTAAAAAAAAATGGAGCGGCGGTTGGAGCGGTTGGCTCGAGAGCCGCGGGTAAAACAGGTTGGATGTGAGCCCCGGGAGCCTTTACGGATCCATTGTTCCGCCTCGATCGGCGCCGATTGTGGTTATTAAGTGGGAGCCGAATTCCAAGCCATTCATCCCCGCTCCACGCGCGGCTGCGGGGCTGGCAACAAGTGGTGGACGCCTTCCCAGATCCCGGAGTTGAGCGCTTCCCCGGGAGGAACTGGAATTACCCAGGAATTAAAAAGGAATCGCACCTTTACCGCGGTGCGGAGGGACTCCTGAACTCGCCGCGAACTCTCGAGCTGCGGAGGGCGAGAAATCCCAGAGGAGAAACGACGTGTCCTGCCCTCCTTCCCAGCCGGTTCCTGCCCCCCTGGAAGAGCCGCGCTGGGACGGCGGGGGGAGCCGGGCGGTGTTCGCCGATTGCTCAAGGCGGAGGGGCCGTGAGCGGAGCCGGCCGCTCGTTTTACCGAGTAAACAAAGCCGGGGAGCCCGGACCTGGCGCCGGGCAGAGCGGAGCGGAGCCCGGGGGGGTTGCTCGGACACCGAACAATAGACTCATCCAGCTCCTTTGTGCATCATGGCCCCAGCCCCGGCTCGGCTCCGCTGCTCCTCGGGCTCTTTTCCTCATCCCCCTCCCGGGAAATGGGGATTTGTGGCCCCGGCCGTCCTTGGTGCCGGGCCCCAAGGTCGGGCGGTAATTGCAGGGTGGCAGCGGAGCTCCCGGAGCCGCTCACGGGCGTTGTTAACCTGTCGCTCCCCGCTCTGCGACACCCCGAGCGGGGCGGGCTCCGAGCCCTCGGCGCGTTCCGGAGGGATTTGGGGCTCTCCGAGTTTCCCTCGCGCTCCGAGTCCTGCCCAGAGAAGCGGGTTTGGGGTGTTGGCATCGGCGCGGACGCTCCAGATTTGTGTGTGATGCCAGGGCTTGAAGGGGGTTTGTGAGATTCACCCGGGCAGGGAGTGACAGGACAAGGGGGGAAGGGATTTGAACTAAAAGGAAACATTTAGGTGGATTCCCTGATTGAATGGGGAGGAGCTGGGATGGAATTCCCAGAGAAGCCGGGGCTGCCCCATCCCTGGAAGTGTCCAAGGCCGGATTGGAGCAACCTGGGATAGTGGAAGGTGTCCCTGCCCGGGGCAGGGGGTGGAACGAGGTGACCTTAAAATGTCCCCTCCCACCCAAACCATTCATGATTCTGTGACTTCCTGAACTTCAGCGATTTGGGACTGTCGCACATTGAGAGGGAGCTGTTTTGCATGTGAATGGCCCGGCCTTGATCCCGTACCTGCCCGGGAACACCCTGGGAAGGTGCTCATCAACCTGCCGTGATTCACAGCGCGGTTGTTCCTCCTCTCCCAGGGCTTTCCTGCCCTCCTCGTCCTTCCCCCGGCTCCCCACGTTCCAGCCGGAACGCTCCCGGTTACCTGCCAGGCCACCCCGGGCTCCTTCCATCCCTCCCACTCCATCGGCTCCAGGTCCACAAACATCCCACGAGCTGAGGAAAAGAGGGAACACGGGCTTGCTCCACAGGCCCAGCCCACCCAAAATCCCCCCCCGGGGCATCCTGACTCCTCCCCTCCCTCTTTTCCTTCTCCCCCCACCCCCCAGTGTTTATGAAAGGCGATATTTCCCCGCTCAGCAGCTTTTTGAGTGGCCCATCCCGGGCTGTGTCCAGCTCTCCCCTCGGGGGGTGTCGGAGGAGGCAGCGGGATCAAAAGTTCAGCTGCAGGTACAATGGGGTTTTCTTGGCTCGGCTCCTTGTTTGCACAACCCAGGTGGGTGCGGTGCCCGCAGATAAGCCCGGAACGATTCCCTGTTGCTACGCCGAGGGCTCCGGGGGCCGGAGCGTCCCGGAAAACGCAGCCCCGGAGCCTCCTCTGCCCGCAGAGCTCGGGGACGGGAGGGCCCCGAGCGGGGTTTGGGTTTCGGGGTGACTAAAGCGGGGCTGACTCAGGCGCTCGGGGGTTCCTCCCTGTTTGGAGACAGTTGTGTTCCTGCCGCGTTCTCCGAAATGAGGAGGATCGAGGAACGGCCCGAGCTGGAGGGACCCACGAGGGTCATCGAGCCCAATCCCCGCCCGGGACACCCCAAAATCCCACCCTGTGCCTGAGGGTGTTACCCAAACGCTCCCCGAGCTCTAAAATCGTGGAATATCCTGAGTTGGAAGGAACCCACAGGGGTCATTGAGTCCAAGTCCTGGCCCTGCTCAGGACACCCCAAAATCCCCCCCTGTCCCTGTTGTCCCAACGCTCCTGGAGCTCTGGCGGCCTCGGAGCCGTGACCGATCCCTGGGGAGCCTGTTCCCAGTGCCCGACCACCCTCCGGATGAAAAACCTCTCCCAAACATCCAGCCTGGCCCTCCCCTGGCTCAGCTTCCCGAGGGGATGTTCGGGGACGGGCAGAGCCAGTGACTTCATGTGCAGGACTCTCCAGGGGAAGGAAAATCCGTGTCATCTTTGGGCACCTCCGGAGGCTCCGGGTTTGCCCATCCCTGTGGGACCAGAGCCAGGCCTGACTTGAGATTTCCAGGCTCTGGGTTAGGGAAGGAGCAGGAACATCTGTGGGGTGGGATCAGCGGGTTCTCATCCCTCGGGCTGTGTTTTTCCTGCCTTTTTTCTTTAATCATGGAATGGTTTGGGTGGGAAGGGAACTTTTTGAAGCTCGTCTGGTTCCACCCCCTGCCATGGGCTGGGTCCTCTCCCGCTGGAGCAAAACCCTGTTGGTTCCCAGGTGTAAAATCCGAGGCTGGGGGGTGAAATATCCTTTAATTTACCTGCTGCTCGTGCTCGGCTCCCCATGGACCAGGAAGCTGCGGCTTTGGGAATGGATCCTTCCCGCTGGAATCCACACCGGAGGCTTGTCAGGTCTTGCTCCCAGCACGGCCCTGGGTGTCAAAGAAACGTGAGGAGCCTCAAACAGCTTTTTCTATCCGGTTTTTCCATCCAATTTGGGGATTTTTGGGGCTGCAGCCTCGTTCCAGAGCTGGCTGGGAAGAAGGGAGTCACTTCCCCCACTGCACAGGTGACTTTAAACCGGAAAACAGAAGGTTTAGGGCAGATACTGGGGAGCAATCCCCCCCCTGAGAGGGTGGGGAGGGGCTGGGATGGAATTCCCAGAGAAGCTGTGGCTGCCCCACCCCTGGAAGTGTCCAAGGCCAGGTTGGACAGGGCTTGGAGCAACCTGGGCCATGGAAGGTGTCCCTGCCCGTGGGACAGGATGAGCTTTAAGGTCCCTTCCCGACCCATTCCATGATCCCACACAGCCCATGTGGTCCAGAAATGTCCTGGATGACCCAGCTCTTGCAGAGATCCGCCCCCACGGCTGTGTGTCCTGATTTATTGCTGATGTTCCCTCTCCAGGGCTGAGGGGCTGTTCCCAGCCCTCTCTTTGCAGAGTTTGGGAAGCCCTCACCCGTTCAGGAAGGACCAGCACATGGAGCAGTGTCTGGAAGCAGCCGTGGCTTCTGTTGGGCTTTAAGCAGCAAAACTGCCCAGGGAGGCTGAGCTTTGGTGCTCTCAGAGCATTCCTGGGGCAGCAGCAGCTGTGGAGCCTCAGCCTTCATGGGGGGGGGGGAATGTTTAGGAACTGGCTGATAAACCCTCTTTGTTTTCACATTTCTGAAGCATCACGTCTGGGACAACCACAACAGTTTAGTCTGTCCGGTGGGCCGGGCCGGGACATTCCCTTATCGGATCTGGCAGATCCAACCTCCTCCCAGGAGCCTTCCAGGTCCTGCTGCCTCCTCGGGGTGACTCTGGGGGCAGCCGAGGACTCTGGGGACGGCTGAGGACTTTCCTGTTGCTCCTGTGGTTGTTCCTGGGTGTTCCCAGCTCCTCCCTGTGGTTGTTCCAGGGTGTTCCAAGCTCTCCCATCCATGCCGGGGTTGTTCCTGAATGTTCCAAGCTCCTCCCTGTCCCATCCCCCCTGTGGTTGTTCCTGGGTGTTCCAAGCCCCTTCCTGTCCCATCCATCCTGTGGTTGTTCCTGGGTGTTCCAAGCTCTCCCATCCATCCCGTTGTTGTTCCTGGGTGTTCCAAGCTCTCCCATCCATCCCGTGGTTGTTCCTGGCTGTTCCAAGCTCTCCCATCCATCCTCTGGCTGTTCCT